AAGTTCGAAACCTTGGAGTTAGCAGCAACCCTGTAGGAACCTCGAAGTTAGATGCCTGACAAGAAACAGGATCTCGTTTAGCAAGCGATACTATGTCCGACGTGTAGACACAAAAAGGGTATCGGTCGCTGCGCCTTGTAACGAGGAAGCCAGATCTGTAGTTTTTAAAGCCAACTGACAAGGAACCTACACGGGATCTGGGTTTGAAGCTGCGCCGGTAATATCCATGGCGGACTCATGGTAGCAGTCGGTGGTGATGCTTCAACTAGAAAGGCCGGAACCGTGTTTAGAGACTCTCGCATCATGAGGCTACACCCACGAATCACATTAACGTGACAGCGTACACGCTAAAGTATGGCACTGGTGTTACAATGTCTGTCGAAACCTTAGACATTCTCCCTGAGCATTGTGAAGAGACTGCGACACCTATGTCATAGTGTGCCCGAGCAATCCGCATCGTAAATCACGAAGTGTCTGTGGGAGGTACTTACGGCATTCTTGAGACACACCTCGAGCAATGTTTCCAGCGCGAATTTTTTGTAGCGAGTGAGCGATCGGTGATCTCGCCGATCAGACACTCGTTCTCACCTACAAGTAACTAGGCAGAATGTCTAGGTTCGGAACACCCCAACCTCGCTAGGTATGTTTCCCAGAAACTGAAACGTTGGTTTCTCCACACCACACCAACGACAGAGTAAATGAGAAGTTGCTTCGTAGTAGGTTCAGTTCCCATCATTTTTGGGATGGGGCGGTCGTTCACGCAGCAGCAGCAGTCGCACGCGCGCGGCAGCATGGGAGGCGGCAGGAGCGGCGCGGCAGCAGGGGGGCGCGGGCGGAGAGGAGCGGATGGGGTGGCTGTCGGCTGTGGCGATCGGCGCTATCACGCCCGGACTCAACGTGAGCCTGGGGCGTGCTGTGTACCATGGAATCCATCATTGCGTGAGGGGTGTTGGTGTTAGCATGCGGCGATGACTGCTGCGCACGCTTCGCTGGCGCTCGTATAAAACGCTCTCAAGCTCTCGAAAATCAGTAGTTTGACTGCTGCGCACGCTTTCTCGCTGGCGCTCGTATAAAACGCTCTCAAGCTCTCGAAGATTAGTAGTTTGACTGCTGCGCACGCTTTCTCGCTGGCGCTCGTATAAAACGCTCTCAAGCTCTCGAAAATTAGTTGTTCGTCTTGCTGCGCGCGCTAGTAAGGCAACAAGAACTCACTACCTACGTCTAGTAGCGAAAAGGCTCAGGCTACGAGGCCTTCCATAGCCCGCCGATCGACCCCTCAATCTGCAGCACGGCACGACTCCTTTTCCTGCCGTTGCACGCTGCGCGAAACCAGTATCGCCACTTCCCTGACAGCGGTTCTCCACGTTCGGGCTGTAGCTTAGCCCTCCTGGCAGTCTCGACAGCGTTTGACACGGGCAGGTGTTTCACCTGCGACGGCGTGGTTTCTGCTGTAAATTCAGACAACACGTTCGCGAGCCTTCTCACCCTCTCGAACAGTAACCCCCCCACACACGAACCCACTTGCACCTGCTTCGTTTCCTGAAAGCACCAGCACGATCCTCGGCAGCGGCACCACCAGTCCTGCCTACCCACGATATCCGTGTTGTGTCTCGTTAGTACATTTGCTTGCGCTGACATCGCGAATTCGTGACATTGGGCACACCGCCAGCTGCACTGCACAACTCTCTTTCTCATCACTAAAAAAAAAAAAAAAAAAAAAAAAAAATTGCTGACTCGCAAGCGGGACAGGATGCCTGAAGACTCGGACCCGCACCCATCTCGTCCTCCTAATCGGTCATGCTCAACCCAGCTTTTGCAGCTCTTCCGATTCCACAGACACCACGCTCACCATCTTGCCCTACTATACCAGCCGTCACACACACTTCCTCGCCACTGCCGGAATCATCTGCTCCACACCCCCCAGCCTCTTCGTCTCAACACCCCAAATCATCAACCTCACCCCGTTTCATTTCAAAGGAGCAGAAAAACGTACTCCAACAAGTCCTTACAGACACTTCACCCTCTCCCCAACAACACTCCTCTCGCCATCCTGAACCTGCAGCCGAACTTGCTTTGCAGCCTCCTCCTGCTTCTTCTCCTCCTCCTGCTTCCACGCCTGCTTCGCACCCTGCTGCGGCCACTGATTCCCCTCCTTCACCCACTTCGGTTCCGGGCCCGAGATTTCGCTGCTCCACCTGCAACCGCACCAACTTCACCACCTCGGGTGGCTACACTCGTCACCTCTCTGCTTGCTCCCGCAATGACTCAGCCCGTCAAGAAGCAGCCCGCCCTCCTCCTCCTCGTGCCACCGCTACCTCCCCATCCTCTTCAGCACCTCCACAGATTTCTCAGCAGACATGGGAAGCTGTCATAAGCTGGGACTGGGGGACATTCTTTAGTCCCACCGTTACCCCTGGCCCACTACTGCGCCGGATCCCGCCGCGAGCCCTCTTGCTGGCCCTGGATGCTTTACTCATACCAATTCGTCGTCTTGTCATCTTCCCTCAATACCCTGCAGCTCATTTCCTCCTCCTCGCTTTCCCCCGACTCATGCTTCGCTCTTCAACCACTTCTTCCTCACATTCAGCTACGGCGGAATGTGCAGCCTATGCGCGCCGTTTCATTCAAGGCGACTGGCTCCCCCTCTTCAACGAGGCTGTCGCTGCTGCTGTACCAGCATCTCGACCGCACAATTTATCGTCCGCCTGGTCCACATCTACGTTTGCTCGGTTGAACAGGGCCAAGCGGTTCGCGCATTGCGGAGATTGGTCGCGTTCCCTCCCTCAAACTGTCCGGCCGTTCTTCACCGCATCTACTCTTGTCGCCCTTCAGAAGCCGCAAGGAGGCGTCCGCCCCATTGCCATCGGCGAGATACTGCCGCGCTTGCTGTCTCGTTGCGTTATTCTTCACTTCAAGCAGCAGATTAGGGATTTCTTCCTTCCCTCCCTGCAGTTTGGGGTCACTGTCTCTGCAGGGATCGAGGTTATGGCCCACACAGTCCAGTCAGCCCTCTCTCTCCACCCAGACTGGGTCGTGCTGGAACTGAATGTGGCCAATGCTTTCAACTTGTTCAGTCGTTCCGCTATGTTCAATGCTCTGCGAGACTCCCCGTTCTCCAGCCTCATCCCTTTCTTCCGCCTCTTCTACGCCTCCCCCTCTCCACTCCATTACCGCAGCGGCCCACTCATCGAAATGCTTCAGTCATCATCAGGTGTTTGACAGGGTGATCCATGTGGGCCATTCTTGTTCGCCCTTACCCAGCATCTAGCCATTCGCCCCATTCAGCGACAATCTCCAGCAATCTTGATCACCTCCTACGCGGATGACCCTGCGCAGGAGGTGTTTCCTGCCTACACAGCACTTACAGCTCGTCTCAACAGCCTCAGCCTGCGGGTGCAACCATCGAAATGCTCCCTTTGGGCCCCTTTGGACCTCCCTTCAGACCTCACACCTCCATCAGACATCGTCATTGCCCTTAACGGTATCACGGTTGCGGGAGTTCCGATTGGTTCAGATACCCACATCATCTCTACAGTACAGGACAAGCTGCACTCTTTCTCCTCATCTCTGCCTCTTCTACATGACCTTCATGATCCTCAGACTGCCTCTCGCATCCTTTCTCTCTGCGTCTCCGCTCGTCCCTCATTCCTCCTCCGTACTGTTGCACCCTTCCCTGAGATAGATGAGCTCTATACTGACTGGGACAACAGCTTGCTCGACCATTTTGTTCGCCTCATTGGCTCTGACTACTGGCCCCCTACATTTGACCACACTGCCACAGCACATCAACAGACATGCCTTCCCATTCGCCTTGGAGGGTTTGGCCTCCGATCATCAGCTGCAACTGCTACTCTCAGTTACTTGTGCAATTGGGCACAGACAGCTTCACTGCTCTCCTCATGCTTCACCATCAACGGCTCTCACATTTTCCGCCCCTTAATCACTTCAGACACCATGGATCGCCTTGACTCATGCATTCCTAAAGCCTTATCCAAACTTCATCCATCCATTCGACAGCACTTCCCACTTGCCTGCACTCCACGCTGGCTACCCACAGAAGCTGTATTCCTACCTTTCAACACCTTGACGCTGTCATGCTCGAGCGCGTGCGATCCACAGTAACCTCCACCCAACATTTGGCCCGTTTGACCTCCCTCCAAGGGCCCCATGCTGGTGACTGGCTCACTGTGGCTCCATGTTCTCCGCACATGTAGCTTTCATCCACAGAGTGGTGCATTGCAGCTGCTATTCGTCTTGGTCTCCCATTCCACACCTCACATCCACCCGGACATGCACTTGTGGCTCGTCATTCACGGATCCTTCAATCGTCTCACATGTCCTCTGCTGTCCATCTGCTAAAAAGCCTACCAGGGTTCACGACGTTATCAAGCATGAGGTTCACCGCATCACGTTGGAGCTTGATTATGTTGTGCAGCTGGAGGATTCCCACCTTCTTGCAGGACGCTGCCCCGACATCAGTTGCCGTAGCATCAGCTCGGGGACAACATGGGCATTAGATATTTCGGTCGCAGATCCCCAGAATGGCCCCCCAAACTCCAAAACTGCATCCGTCATCGGTTCAGCCGCATCTGCTCGCGAAACCGAGAAGCGGACCCTGTATGCGCCCACGTTACACCACCGACCAGACGTAAAACTCCTTCCTCTTGTCCTTGAAAACCTTTGGTTGCTTCGGTATGTCATTCCTTAGCTTCATCAGGACTGCAGCCGACGGGGAGCGACACGGCTCCGGGACATGGGTGGTACATCCGACCTTATCCCATGAGCTTTTGGAGACGAGCTACTTCAAGAGGATTTCTCTGGTGCATCGCGCGAGCAGGCCAGGACCATTTACCGTCGAACACAAATTCGCTACAGCACTGACACACCTTTCCCGCCACCAGAACCCACCCCACCTTCCTTGGCTGATTTTGCGTACCTTGGTGTTGGTTCTTGAGACCTCATTGGGGTCTCAACCTAGGGTAGTAGGTATTGCTCGTTAGTCATCTGATTGTACTTGATTTGATTTGTATCCTCTGTACAAATATAACACTGCAGATAAAATGGAAGCGTGTCTGACTTCAGATCAGAAGGTTGCCTGTTTCGACTCACGTCAGGTTCAAAGCCTGTATTTTGCTGCTTTTATGGATTTTGAAGTCCTCCGCAATCGTTTTCAAGGCCTTCACTTTTCTATGATGCGTCTTTTGTTCCCCCTACTTTACATACCTGCCACTTGCTTCCTGTCATCGTTTTCACTGTCCCCACATTCTATTTCTTACAATTGCACTCCCTCTTCCCTCCTTGTTCCTCATCCTGCCATCTCTTCCATCTCCACCATCTCAAGGAACCCACCCTCCCTCACAGCAACCTTAATCCCCCCCCCCCATCTCTTCCCCACCCCCATCTCTCCCCCACCTCAGCGCCCCACACTGGTGCTCATGAACATCATCCTGGTGGGGCTGCTGCTCTCCTTCGCCGCCCTGCTGCCCGCTGCCTGGCGCTACTTCCCGCCCACCTGTGGGCGACAGCAGCAGCAGTGGGACTGGGAGCGGCAGCACAGTGGAAGGTGGCAGCAGTGAGATGCTGTACCATGTGTTGTTCCTGCTGCTGCTCACTCTCCTACTCATTGCGCTACTCAACTGTGGGTGTTGGCTGCTCAACTGCTTGGTGTTGACTGCTCGTGCATTCACCCATGTTAGCCACTTGTGCATTCCCCATGTTACCCACTCATGCACGCACGCATGTTACCCTCTCATGCTTTGACCCATTTTACCCACTCATGCATCTTTAATTCTCTCCCTTCCTTTCCTCCCCTTCTTTCCCTTTCCTCCTCTTCCCTACCCTTCCCCCTTTCCTCCCATCTTCTCCCAACCCTCCCCTTCAATCCTCCCCTCTCCCCTTCTTCCCCTCCCTCTGTTGCCTCCCTTTTTGCTCTTTTTCCTCCACTGCACCAACCCGCACGTCTCTGTTCCCGCTTCAAATGCACACCATCATCCCGCGCATGCTTGCAAACCAGGTCCGTGCTTCTCTGAAATTTGACGAATCAATCCACGTCCCCCCGCCCGTGCCGTCCCCCGTCTGGTAGGTTGGCGTGGGAGGTGGGCACAGTGTCCACCCACTCACAGGCACGGCAGCTGCTAGCACCTGCTGGCAGCAGCCATGGTGCTGCTGATGCTCCCAATGAGTCTGGGGCCCATGATGCCCAGGAGGATACAAGCGGGTCAAGACGAGTGCACGGCAAGAGGCACAAGAAAAAGCGTCAGGGCAGCAAGAAAAACTTCAAGGGAAGGCGCTGACCTCCTCGCCCTGTTACATGCTTCATGTTGCTAGGGATACTGGCCATTCATGCTCTGCCATAGTGATGCTCTCTGCAGTAGTGATGCTCTGTGCAGTAGTGATGCTCTCTGCAGTAGTGATGCTTTCTGCAGTAGTGATGCAAATACTAAGGACATTTGCAGTGGCGAGGCTTCATTTTAGTGCAGCTGCAAGTGCAAAACACGTACTTTGGTTTCCAACTTGATACCGAACATGGCTAACTAGTTTCCACTTGCAGGAATGGCATAGCTGGTTGGAGGAACTGTGTACAGTAGATGGGAATCAGGGGAGTCCTCGCGCAGCCTAGTGCATGAGCTATTTCCACTGGAGCAAGTGTGAGAGGAGCTGCTGGCAGTGGGAATCCTGGCTGTGTGCGTGGTGTGGTGTGCCAAGGGGGACGATTGCAGCGGGTGGCTTGTGACAGCAGCACACAGGAGCATAAGGTGATGCCTCATGACTCGTGAGCAGTGCCATCACAGCGCTTCATGTGCGTTGGGTTGTGCCTAGGCCTGCACAGCCCCATACAGCCTGTACAGCAGCAATGACATCACAGGATCTCCAGTCGTGTGGTGGGGTAGCCCACCTAGAAGAGGCGCTCCAATGCACTCACGTACTCCGCAAGCACATGGGATGGGATGGCATGGTACGTGCGGGATGGGAGGATACAGATGAGGAGACGAGTGGACATGAAGGCCCTCACTTACTCCGCATGCATTGCAGCCATTTGCATGGAGGGATGGCGCGGCATGGGATTGGAGGCAAAGGGGAGAAATGGGATTAGATGGCATGGCATGAGATGGCATGAGACGAGGGCCATGGGATGGCATGACATGCATGCATGAATGACATTGGCACGTTACAGAGGGATGAGGAGAAGAAGGGAAATGCATGCACCCAAGCAGGCATGCGAGGAATGACATCGATCAGAGAAGACGATACAGCTTGCAAACACGAACAACCATGCACTCATGTAGACGTGCAGGCATGCACCCATGCACCCATGCAGGCATGCACCTATGCAAGCATGCATGAGACGCCAATTAATCAACCCCTCGGTGCACGTGCCCACGGCGTCCGTCTTATATCAGCGAAACACAACTCTCACACTCCCAGCCACTTCACAATTGTTGGTGCAACCCTACAGTTTGCACTCGGCTTGTTGTCCGTGTGTGTGCATGCGTGTGTGCATGGAATGGTATGAGAGCATGAAATAATATATATTTCATGCTTAAAATACTGTGTGCATAATGAGTCATGATGTCGAGTGTGTGTGTCGAGTCAATAGTGAGTTATCGCTAGTCGCGTGTTACGCGGTCATTTGTGTCTCGCGCGCGGTTTCTATTTTGTCATGTGTCTCGTGTACGGTTTCTATTTTGTCCTGTGTCGAACGTTCGGCGTGTCGCAGATGTGTGCAACAGACCCATCAATAACTCAAGGATGAGTTTGTGATGAAGAACCCGAGCCTTGGTTTCAAGATCCAAGTGATTTCGAGCCTTGGTTTGTGTACACTTCGGATATTGAGAATAGTTACATTATTTGTGTAGCGTAACATATTACTTGGAGTAGGCCCTTGTGGAGGGTAGTTTCGAGACTCTTCGTGGTTGGGGACAGTGTGGCACTGTACCTCGGCTCTTGGGGGTTTGTAGGAGCTGGGAGTCATTCCCAACTCCTTAACTCTTCCTAATTGTGTGTTATATGACTATAGTGGGCTGCCATAGTGCCGTTCGTTCAAACCCACGCTGTGTCAACAATTCTTAATGAAATCGTGCGATCTAAATTGCTTGTTATAAGCGACGTTAAGACGCTCTAGATCCAATTTGAATCAGGTCATTTCGAGCTGTGACCAGATCGCTATGAACGTTCAAATCCGCTGTGCAGAAATCCACATTCGCAATCTATCATCCGTTTTAGGCACATTGAAGCATACTGTGATTATAACAACCATTTCCACTTCAGCACTGTGGATGAGATGCGTTAGAACATACCCTTTCTTTTGAGGGGTTGGGGTCAGGGTCACCCTGGCCAATGAGAGTGCCGATGACAATGATGAGGTGCGTGCGGAAGGGGATGGGCGACCTGTTAAGATAGTACCTGGAGCCATGGCTAGAGAGAATAATTGAGTAACACGAGCGTCGAGATACAAATGTAGGAAACCCTAATTGAATTGAGGGTGTTTATTTTGTGCTGGAAACTATTAAATTAGCCTAAACTGAACCGAAAGTGTAACTCGCTCTAAACATAGCGAAACAACAAAAAAACATTATGATAAATGCTAGAGCAATCTCTAGCCTACTCCAACAAGACCACACATGCCCCAGAAAAGGATCGGGGCAACGCCCCACCGATACAACGCCCCCTATGGCCTCCACCAGCAATATGCACTGGTGTCAGGGATGGGCTGAACGGGGATGAGAGTGGAGAGGGGGGAGGGGGGAGGGAGGGGGGGAAGAGAAGGGAGGGGGAGGGGAAGGAAGGAGGTGGGGATGATATGCATAAGGGGCTAGAGGATAGATGAGGGAAGTGAGCATAGAAGTGCGTGTGCACCATGGCACCATGGCAATAGGGGGAACGGGATGGCAAGAGGGGGAACGGGATGGCAAGAGGGGAACGGATGGCAAGAGGGGGAACGGAATGACAAGAGGGGGAACGGGATGGCAAGAGGGGGAACGGGATGGCAAGAGGGGGGATGTGATGGCAAGAGGGGGAACGGGATGGCAAGAGGGGTAACGGGATGGCAAGAGGGGAACGGGATGGCAAGAGGGGGAACGGGATGACAAGAGGAGGAACGGGATGGCAAGAGGAGGAACGGGATGGCACAAGGGGGAACGGGATGGCAAGAGGGGGAACGGGATGGCAGGAACGGGATGGCAAGAGGGGGAACATGATGGCAAGAGGGGGAACGGGATGGCACGAGGGAGAATGGGATCGCAAGAGGGGGAGCAGGATGGCAAGAGGGGGAACAGGATAGCAAGAGGGGGGACGAATTGGCACAAGGGGGAACGGGATGGCTAGAGGGGGAACTGGATGGCAAAGAGGGGAACGGGATGGCAAGAGGCGAGGTGAGTGGGGGGCATTGTCATAGTTACAAGGGCCTACACCAAGTGAAATGTTACACTACACAAAGAAATGTAACTATTCACACTATTGAAGTCAACACATTTTTTCGCGGACTTCGAGATCACATGAATCTTGAAACCAAGGCTCTGGTTCTTCATGAGAAACTCATTCTTGAGTTCTTGAAGGGTCTGCTGCACACACGCCAAACGTTCGACCCACGACAAATAGAAACCGCGCACGAGACACAAACGATCCGCGTGACACGCGACTTGCAATAACTCGCAATTGACTCAACACACACATTCAACATTATGACTCATCATTCACACAGTATAATAAGCATGGAATATGTATTATTTCATGCCCTCATACCATTCCATGCACTCACGCATGCACGCACACGGACAACACGGGTTGCACCAACAAACTTCCCCTCGGATTGTTGGCCTTAGGATCTTGCTCTCTCAGTTCAAAGCCATCCCAGCCAGCTTGCAACACTTCCAATGCTGCTGCTCCACCAGCCTCTTGGTCATCATGTCTGCCTGTTGCCCCGTTGTATTCACATAGCTCAACTCAACTTCACCCGCGGCCACCGTGCTCCTCGTCCAATGCAATTTCACCCTCATGTGCTTGGCGAGGCCGTGCAACACAGGGTTTCTTGCAAGTGCAATGACACCCTGGCTGTCATAGTAGAGAGGGTAGATCCTTGCTGCTCCTCCCCCAATTCAGCCAACAAATGCCGCTGCCACACAATCTCCCGTACGGCACGGAAGAGTGCCATGTACTCGGACTCCACCAAGCCCAATGCTTGGTCCACCTGCTTCTTGCTCTCCTAAGCAATTGGGCCTCCACCAACACAACTTATGAAGCCTTTCACACTTGTCATGTCCTCTAGTTCCGATGCATAAGAGGCATCGGAGAAGGCAGTGAGGAACAAACGTCCGGGTTCAACACCATCCGCGCTCTTTTGGCGCCTTTGCGTCGCCGCTGAGTATTGCAGCCCAACAGTCGGTGTTTGGCCAAGATAATTTTCCACCCCCATTCCAGCTGCTACCTGCTCTTCATTAGGGAATTGCACAGCCCTAACCAGTTGCCTGGTAGCAAAGGTGAAACCCGTTCGAGTGTTTACCGCCGCGTACATGTGGCTGCCCACCAACAAGTGAAATCGGCGCCTCTCCTCTTCTCCAACACCCTCTTCTGGTCCCTTTACACACTTGAACCCAAAAGAGAATGAAGTAGCCACATGGCCTTCACCCTGCCAAAAGTTGGCAGCAAAGGCCTCCAAGTACTTGCGTTGATGCACCCGCATGTACCGCTTCTCCATGTTCGATATGAAGCCCGAGGTAGAAGTTCACGTTGCCAAGTGCCTTGCTCTTGAACTTGTCCTGAAGCTTCAGCATCACCTCCTTCTTAAGGTCAGAGGAGGGTGAGAAGATAAGGATGTCATCCACATAGGCTACCATGAAGCTCCTCTGCTCCCCCTCGCCAAGCATGAACAAGGAGTGGTCGGCCGTTAAGGGAGCGAAGCCGATCTCCTTAAACACTTTCCACAGCTTCAAGTACCATCGCCTAGCAGCCTGCTTCACCTCATAGAGGGCCTTATTCAGCTTCAAAACTCTGCCACTGCCATCATCAAACCCTTCTGGCTGCGCCATGAAAATCTCTTATTCGAGAATGCCGTTGAGGAACGCGGTTGTCACGTCCATCAGCTTCAACACCCATCCTTTGATGGTAGCCCACGCGAGTAGGGTTCGCAGGGTCGTCGGCTTGACCACAGGAACAAACAACTCCTTGTAGTCCACCTTCTCCTTTTGCTGGTACCCCTTGGCTACAAGCCTTAACTTTGTGGCGCTCGATCTTGCCATCGGCGTCCGACTTGATCATGAAGAGCCACTTGGACGTAATCGCCTTACGCCCCTCTGGTAGCTCCACCAATTCTCACATGTCGTTATCCTTGATGCTCTTCAGCTCACTCTCCATTCCCTTCTTCCACTCCTCAGCATCACTACTCTCCAAGGCCTTCTTGAGAGTTGTTGATTTCCCAAGCATCTCCACCGGAGAGAAGAACGCAAAGGCACAGTCCTTGTACTCACTTTCCTTGTCATCTCTAACCATCATTGCCGCTCCAATCAAGGCTGACTTGCTCGACTTTCCCGGCGCATCATATGGCAGCTTATTAGGGGCTTGAACTCCCCTCTTACCCCTTTCTTGCTCAGCTGCAGGGACCTGAAGGCTATCTTGACGTTGTTGCGGAGTGACCCGAATCCGTGGAGCGCTCGTAGTGCGAGAAGAAAGTGTCGGTGCACGCTCGCTTTCTTGCTGCACCTCCTCATCTTCTTTCTCTCCATTCTTGGCCTCCTCTTCCCCATTCACAAGAGGAGATTGCCTTGTGATGGTGATGGCGCTGCTCAACTCCAAAGGCAGCTCCACATGCTCCAAGCCGAAACTCTTCACCTCCCCAAACCGCACACCTATCTGGGCCTCATTTTCCGCCTTCCAATCCTTGTATATCAGGTTTTCCATGAAATTGCAGTCCGTGCTCACCAAGAACTTCTTGGTGAATGGGTCCCAAAGTAGCCATCCCTGGATTGAGCCATGCCCAAGTGCACAACCCATATCAATCCACACTCACCGCACCATGCGGAGAGACACTCTACAAAGGTAGTGAGCTAGACCATGGGGGTCGGCACGAACTACTAGGAGTGATCATAGCTTTGCTTTGTTCATTGCACATTCACGGGAGAAACCGGCAAGAGTTTCCACTAGCAAAATTGAGAATTACAGAATGAATCAACAAGGAATGACAGCAATGACTACATCAGGCACCTAGCAACTCTGCAGCTAGCCTAGTCGGCCGCTAGCACTGCATGGTCGGCCGCCTGCCAACGTTGCGTAGAGGAGCCGCGCCATCACTGCAGAAAGGCGACCTGCCAACACTGCAGGTCAATGGCGTGCCAACACTGTGGCAATACGGCTGTCCAGCGGTGCACTCATAGTTGGCAGCAGTGCGCACGCTCACAGGTGCGTGCAGACGATTGGCCCGACTTGCATTTCTGTGCATCCGTCGGCTGTTGTCTGCACCTGACGAGCCACATCGACTTTGGGATACCAGCCCGAAGTCGTCTTTGCCATCGCGACCTCGACGATGTTCACATGCTTCCGTAGAACTCGCCGAGTAGGTTACCTTGTCGACCTGGTCGACCACAGGTGCTCTGGTCGACCACCAAGTGCCCTAGTCGACCGCAGCTCCCGTCGAGCTGCCCCCTGGTCGACGGACCCCTTCCATCGAGCAGAACTGACAGCTGATATTGCTGAGCTCCCCTCGTCGACCGCTGCTCACATGTCAGGTTGACGAACTGCTCCTTCGACCTCCCCGTCGAATCGGCACTCCTGGTGGACGGCCCACCCGTTGCCCAGCCCAGTCAGATGCGCCCGTCGAGCACCCCTGGTCGACGGCAACCCCACAGTGACACCATGAAGCTCGACGAAGCCCGTCAAGCATCTCCCTCACTGTGAACAGTCGGCTGCTTCTCCCGTACATCCGACCAAGTTGTCGGCGTTGCCCAAGCAAGGGCGGGGCCAACATTTTATTCCCGTTAACACTCCCCTGCCACGCTCACACGGCAGTACTCCACGGAGAAAACTCATTCTCGGCGTGCACCCCACATATAACATGCTGACACTGCACTAGCCGTGCAAGAGGGCACGGCACCTACTGCTACACATCATCAACGCCATCGCCGACGTCGGCCAGACGAACTTGGCCGATGGCGACAGAGCACTGGTTGAAAGCCGGAAAATTTAGCGCCTTCGTCAGGAAGTCGGCCGGCTGCTCGGAGTTCGGGATGTACTTCAGCACGAACATCCCGCGCCTCACCATGTGCTGCAGCCAGGCGTAGCGTCGCTCCATGTGCTTGAGGTTGCCTATCGGCCCCAAGCCCTCAGAGACCATAATTGCCGACTTGCTGTCTACGCAGAGGACGGTCGGCTTTCCAGGGTCAAGCAGCTTGAATTCTGCAAGGAGGAAGCGAAGTCAACGCCCCTCCTTGCAGGCGTCCATGGCCGCGACGTACTCCGACTCGGTCGAGGAGAGCGTCGCGCACTTTATGCACTGGCTCGACCAAGAGACCACGGCACCTCCGAAGACGAACACATAGCCGCCCGTGCTCGCCCAATTCTGCTAGTCGCCCGCGTCATCGGCATCCGTGTAGCCGATCAGCTCCAGCGACTCTGGTCCACCACCAAACTCCATGGCGGTGTCGCAGGTGTCATCAAGGTAGGGAAGGCAGCGATCGACCTTGCGCTCATGCTGGTCGCTCCTCACCATAAGGCCGCTCCCCAGCTTGCTGCAGGCGAACCGCGATGTCCGACCTCGTTGTCGTCGCCGCGAACAGCAGCGAGCCAACCTTCAGCCGGTACTCCTCCTCCTCGCGCTCCTGCGCCTCCTCGTCGTTGAATGTCAGCTCGGCGTAGGCGTCGACCGAGATAGGCATATTCGGGATCCAACCGCCCTGCTCCTCGTCGATGAAGCACCTACGGAGCTTGTCGGCGTAGCCTTGCTGGTGCAGCCCCAGCTTCCTTGCGGGCCTGTCGCGCACGACCTCCAGCCCGAGGTACTTGACAACCGGGGAGATCTCACGCAGCTCGAAGGCGTCCTCCAGCAGCTCCTTCAGCTCCTTCAGCATCGTGGTGGTGCTGCTGGCGGCGAGGATGTCGTCGACGTAGACCGGCACCGAGTAGGTCATCCCTTCGTCGCCGACCTTGAAGTAGAGCGCCTCGTCGACCTAGCTCTTCTTCCAGTCAGCCCCAAGCAGCACTCCGTCGAG